GCTCATGCTCTCTCTCTATCTCTGTGTCTCAAATGAATAAATAAAATCTTTAAAAAAAAAAAAAAGAAGAAAGCCTCTAAAATAAAAAGTGATCCAAACTGCTCCCCCCCCCACCCGAAGAAACAAGCAGGGGAAAGAAGCAACAGAAAGAAGAAATCAATGCATAGAAAAGAAAACTTTAAAAATTAACATTAATATAACTCAGATAAAGAACCTATTTCCACCATGCAACAAATAGAGGATGTCATGTTTTTTTAAAAGGAATTTTCAGAAAAGAAAGAGGAGCTCTTGGACATTAAAAATATAATAGCAAAAATTTTAAACTAAGGAGGTTTGGAAAATTAAGCTGGGGAAGACTCCAAAAAAGTAGAATTAAAAAAGAAGTGTGGTGCCTGAATGGCTCAGTTGGTTAAGCGTCCGACTCTTGATTTCGGCTCAGGTCATGATCTCAGGGTTGTGAGATCGAGCCCCACGTTGGGCTCTGCGCTGGGCTTAGAGTCTGCTTAAGATTCTCTCTCTCCCTCTCTCTCTGTCCCTCCTGCCCCCTCAAAAAAAAAAAGTGGGGTGCCTGATTGACTCAGTTGGTGGAGTGTGTGGCTCTTGATCTTAGGGGCTGTGATTTCAAGTCCCATGTTGGGTGTAGAGATTACTAAAAAATAAAATCTTTTTTAAAAGCCCCAAAAATCAAAGAAGTGAGAAAAAGAAAAAGAAGCGTAAACTAGGAGAGATAAGATATTTTATTTAACAACAGTAACAACAAAAACAACTCACCAAACAAAACAAGAACAACCTTAAAGGGTCAGTCTAGGAAGTCTGATATCTAAATAATAGGAATTACAGAAAGAGAAAAAGGACAACACAGAGGGAAGGAAACGATCAAGGAAATAATTGAAGAACATTTCCTGGAACTGAAGGGCATTAGTTTTCATATTGAAAAGACTCACTGAGTATTCAGCACAGTGGATGAAACAGACCCACCCAAAGCACAATCATCATGAGATTTCAAAACACTGGAAACAAAGAGAAGATCCTGAGTTTCCAGAGAGGAAAACAAACAAACAAACAAACAAAAACAAGTTACATAAAAAGAATCAGAATTGCCTTGGACTCTCAACACACCAGAAACTAGAAGGCAGTGGGGGCAGTGCCTTCAACATTCTTCAGGAAAAATAAATCCAAACCTAGAATTCTATATCCAGCCTAATTATACATCAAAGATGAGGGTAAAATAAAGATACCTGCAGGCTGCAAGGTCTCAAAAAATTTACCTCCCATGCACCCTTACTCAGGAAGCTACAGGAAGATGTATACCACCAAAACAAGGAAGAAAGAAAAAAAAAGATGAAAACATAGAGTACAGGACACAGGAGTGCCAATACAGGAGAGACATGAAAGGGGGCCCCTGGATGGCGACGAAGGAAGATCTCAGGAGGACAGCTGTGCACACCAGCAAACCAGCACAGATTTGAGCAGGTCAGAAGACTCCTGAGAGAATTCTTTGGGTGGTTTACATTGATAGACTATCTAGTGCTTCTGAATATCTTGAAAGGAGATCTAAACAACTGGTAAAGAGTTTGGGGTTGAATTAGTTATGAATACTTGAATTAGTTATAAAAAACAAAAAGACAAGACAGTTATTAACTCCAGGGAAAACAAAGTTGTGAAAGAAAGAAAAAAAAAAAGCCAGGAGTGTACCATTGGGCTTAGCTCCGAATAAGGAATATTCAGTCAAAATTATTTAAATACTAATGTAACCAACATTATAGTTTAACTTCCGGAAGAATGGGGAGATGGGAAGTGCATGTTTGTGTTGGGGTCCTGGTAGGAGGGAGAACTAAAAATTCTCATATTCCTTGGATAATAATAGATAATGCCCCAAAATGGAAAAATAAACCCAGCAATATAAGGTTGTTATTTGCAGCCCTAGTAATAAGTGCCAAAATAATCAGCTAAAAGAGGTCTCATCTCTGAGGAGGGATAAGACAGGGCAGTAGGTGCCAGGGACTGCAGTTTTTCTTAACAAAATCTCCAAAACTGTTTGGCTTTTTAAACAGTGTACCTGTATAACGGGTAAGAAATTAAACACTAAAAACAACTGGCATAGGATTTAAGATCATGAACTTTGGACTCAGGTCTGTGTTTAAGTCTTGCCACTTACTAATGGTGTGACCTTGAGCAGTTTATTTATCTGCTTCCCACCTGTTTTCTCATCTGAAAAATGAGGACAGTATTTGCTTTACAGATTTGTTGTAAGGATTAAATGATGTGATATTTTTAAAGTACACATAGCGTAGTACATAGCACATTCAGATGATTATTTTCTGGGTTGCTTCTCCAGTTTAGAGCAAGCAATTAAAGTCAGAGGAGTGGACAGGTAAACACAGCCAGGGTCTCCTATTTGTCTAGAGTAGGTGGGATGATTTCTGATTCAGAGGGTCATCCCAAGATGGACTCTCAGGGCGTTTGGGGCCAGGTTAATTAAGCACTGGGCTCCAACTGAGTGTTGATCTGAAATAGCCCAACTTCTCATCTGCAGATCTTAGAAGAATTTTAAGTTTACTTGAATTTTAAGAAGCTTAATTACATCTTAATTGAGAAAAGAGAACAAGTGAAAATGTGCTTAAATATATGAAAGGGGAAATTTAAGTTAAAGAGGAGAAAAAACTTTTAGACTAGAAGAGGTCAATGAAAGATATTAATAGATTTTCTGTTTTAGTAGCCATCTTTTGCCTGAGGAGCCTGTAGAGTCCTACCTGGATTTGGGGGTTGTATGAAATAGTTTCTAAGGGGTTTATCTAGTTTTTCTGGGAACAATAGGAACAAAACAGAAAAGGGGCCTTATAAAAAAGCAGGCTCTAAATATTTGAACAACTACACTTTTATTTTCTGCCTCTTTTGATTGTGAGTCGTTGCATGGAAGGAAGCTTCTAACTATCCCACCCTATGCAGAGACCCCAGAATCCAACAATAGTGTGTATACTTCCTTCATGAAGTCTCATCGCTGCTATGACCTGATTCCCACAAGCTCCAAATTGGTTGTATTTGATACTTCCCTGCAGGTGGGTGAAATCCTCTTCTCCCATCCCCCTTCCTAGGAGCCTCTGGTTCAAAAACTCTCATCCTATCTCATCCCAAGGGTAATATCCTTGTCCTTATATGGGTTTAGTCTCATGTTTTCCCTAACATACCCAACCCCTGTTCTTTTAAAGTCTTGCACCCTGTGAATTTTCCTTTGTGATGATTTCTCTTTTGGCTACAGGTGAAGAAAGCTTTCTTTGCTTTGGTGACTAATGGTGTACGAGCTGCCCCTTTGTGGGATAGTAAGAAGCAAAGTTTTGTAGGTAGGCAAAAGTTTCTGGTACACAATATTATTGGCATCTTGTGCTGGGCAGGGAGAGAAACTTTGAGTAGTGCTGAGGGATCTTGTCTTGGCTTCTTCTAGGCATGCTAACCATCACCGATTTCATCAATATCCTGCATCGATACTATAAATCAGCCTTGGTAAGACACCGAAGCCCAATGACCCAAGTCCCTCATTCCTAGTTCCTTTCTTCCAAGCAAACTGCAAGGGGTTAATGAAGCAGAGAGATCAAATCTCAAGTCCTGTGCTTCTGTTTCCAGGTACAGATCTATGAGCTGGAAGAACACAAGATAGAAACTTGGAGAGGTATGTAGAGAACTGGGGGTTGTAAAAGGAAAAAGGGATGGAGAGTTTCCTTGGAAATGGTTTTCCATACCGGTATTTTGTGAACCTCCCTTTTCCCTTCAGAGGTGTACCTACAGGATTCCTTCAAACCACTCGTCTGCATTTCTCCTAATGCCAGGTGAGTTCCAGCTACCCATTTGTCCAGAAGGGGAAGAGCCTTGCCACCAGGGTAGCTAAAGCCCTAGATACCCAAAGATCCAGGGGCAGAAGAGAAACAATACTCTCCTCCCAAACACACACACATTCACACACTCTATAGGTCGGTTTGAACACTGCTCCCCTCTCCCAATCATCAGTTTTCCCTGTTTATAAATACACTCTTAGAAGCTATTTACTCAGCTCAAGCTCAGCACTGTGGGACTTATCATTATCCCCCACCTTCCCACAGCTTGTTCGATGCTGTCTCTTCATTAATTCGAAACAAGATCCACAGACTGCCAGTTATTGACCCGGAATCAGGCAACACTTTGTACATCCTCACCCACAAGCGCATCCTCAAGTTCCTCAAATTGTTTGTAAGTGTCCTCAGCCTGGTTTTTACTTTTCTTTTCTTTTTTTTTTTTTTAAGAGAGACAGAGAGCAGGGGAGGTGTGGGGGCAGATGAAGAGGGAGAAAGAGAATCTTAAGCAGGCTCCACACCCAGCACAGAGCCTGACACGGGGCTCGATCTCATGGCCCTGAGATCGTGACCTGAGCTGAAATCAAGAGTCAGAAACTTAACTGACTGAGCCACTGGGTGCCCCTGGTTTTTACTTCTTATATACTGGGTTGGAGGGGTATCCAAGGGTGGTGTGGGGTTCTTGAAGATGAAGCTGATGGTTCTCTCCTCAGATCACTGAGTTCCCCAAGCCAGAGTTCATGTCTAAGTCTCTGGAAGAGCTACAGATTGGCACCTATGCCAACATTGCTATGGTCCGCACCACCACGCCTGTCTATGTGGCTCTGGGCATCTTTGTTCAACACCGAGTCTCAGCACTGCCAGTAGTAGATGAGAAAGGTGAGAGAGTACGCAGAACGAGAGGGAAGGCTCCAGGGAAGCCGGGGGGGTTCTGGGAAAATCTGCTGTCCCTCAGCTCAGCCCGGAGGGTGATGCTATAGGCAGGGGGAGCCTTGGATGCCAGATCCTCCTTGCTGATCTGCCTCTGTCCCCCTAGGGCGTGTGGTGGACATCTACTCCAAGTTTGATGTTATCGTGAGTGATTGTGGAGGGGCTGGGAGGTAGGGAAAGGGGCGGGGCGTTGAATGTGGAGAGGGAGAAGAAGAGAGTCTCTTCTGGGACCTAAGGGTTTTAGAAGCTTCTAAGCTTTCAAATCCAATTTGAAAAGGAATGAGTTGGGTGTGGCTGGTGGGCAAGGCTAACAACTGCCCTGAATCCCTCTGGCGGTTGGGTGGCCTCAGGGTTTGGGGGCTGGCTTCCTTGCTTCCCTGCAAGCACCTTCCTCTCTCTCCCCAGAATCTGGCAGCAGAAAAGACCTACAACAACCTAGATGTGTCTGTGACCAAAGCCCTACAACATCGATCCCATTACTTTGAGGGTGTCCTCAAGTGCTACCTGCACGAGACTCTGGAGACCATCATCAACAGGCTGGTGGAAGCAGAGGTAGGGAGGCCACTGACTCAGAAGGAGCTGAGGGGAGCAGCTTTGAGTGTGGGGTTTGGCAAGGTGGGTAGGGGTTGAAGGGCTCATCCTAACTGAGGCCATCACTAAACATCCCTTTTCTCCCTTGTTGCTCTGTGCAGGTTCACCGGCTTGTTGTGGTGGATGAGAATGATGTGGTCAAGGGGATTGTATCACTGTCTGACATCCTGCAGGCCCTGGTGCTCACAGGAGGAGAGAAGCCCTGAGCTGGGGAAGGGGTCAGGCAGCACCAGGGGATATGCCCCACTCACTGCCTGCCCAAAGTTCTAGGAACCACAGGTGAAACCTTGAGAGAATTGTGACTCTCTTCCCTGCTCGGGAGCTGGGGAGGGTGCGGGGGGAGGAAGGAGAATGGATTTTTAGCTGTCCTTATCCTCATGCATACAGCCTAGCCCATCCTAGCCCCAGCCTCTTAGATGTAGCCTCCTTTCTGAGTGAATGATGGGCTGTGTGCCCCTCAGGCTAATTCTGATCTCTGAGAGATCCCCAGACCTCACCCAGCCTTTGCCTGTCTCCCTGCCCCTGACTCCACCCTAAGATAATAGCACAACAAAACTCTTCCTAAGATATTTTTATTCATCCTGTTTCATGCTATATGGAGGAGGCTGAGTCCATTTAGTGACATTTCTTCCCATAATGGGAGTGGGGAGGATTGTGGGGAGGAGGGCCTTTGGGTTCCTGTGCTATGTGCATATGAAGGGAGATGGGGGTTAGGTGGAGGAGGAGGGCAGAGTGATTAGCTGAGGTTATTGCTTTTCATGGCAAACCTAATTAAAATGACAGGAACCTCTTCATGGTGTTGCTTGATTGTTTGATTCTTGTAGTTGATAGACACTACTGCTCCAACCAGCCTACCTCACATGGCCTCTTCAACTCATTACTCACAACAACAGGAATAACGGCACACACACATACACACACATACATATGTAAAACTGTGTCAGGTACCATGCTCGGTGCTTTACATCTATTCGTTCACTTAAGCCTCAGAACAACAGTAGATAGGATTCCAATTTTACAGATTAAAAAAACAAAAACAAAAACTGAGGCAGAGAGGCTAAGTAACCGGCCCAACGCCACACAGCTGGTAAAATGTAGAGCTAGGATTTGTACCCAAACAGTTTGGCCCCAGAGCTCCTGCTCTTTACCACTACACTAGACTTACTGGCTTTCCAACTCTCCATTCATAACTGTTTCCCACCCTATTCCCAGCAGTTCTCCTTATTACCTCGCTTTCTCCTCTGCCTGAATCATAGCTGGGACCCCAGGAAAATCTCCTAACAGCGTTAGGTTTCCAGAGAATAGAGAGACTGAGGCTCTCCTGGAGGCAGAGAAACATGCCACCATCATCAACTTTTCTTAGTCAGGGAAGGTTGGACTCTGTGTTTGAATTTTGCTGAGCTGGCACTGTCTTTGAACCTACAAAATGCCTTACCATTCTTCCAAGGTGAGAATGAGCTGGGGGGTCGGGGAGCAGACTCTACCTGTGCTGAAACCATGTGAGCCAAAACAGTCAGCACCAAATACCATAAGGACTGCTAGACAGTTGGGCCTGAGCCAAATTTTGGGTACCATCTCACCACTGACTTGCAGGTTTGATACCATTTCCTATCCAAGACCAGAAGCAATCTCAGAGTACCTCCTAGCCCCTACCTAACCTCTCCCTACCTACGAATTCTGAGGAACCCTGCCATACCATACCGGTTCCTCCAAAGTAGGCTTCCTCATGGCTCATGGGGAAAAGTGTCAAGGCAGCTGCCAGGGCTGCCCTCCTGGCTTTGGAGAAAGCCCCTGCTTCTGCATTCACCTCTTCACAGCTCACAGCACATTCCCAGACTTGGGGGAGGGAGGCTTCCAAGTTATTAGAATTAGGGTATGTTTATGTGTGTGGGGGTGAGTGCATGGTGGAAAGGACAGATGTCGTCTTATGTCACATTCCATCATGGAGGGTTTGTCTAGGGAGGAGGCAAGGGCTTTAAAAAGCCCTGGGACTCTGGGGGGACCTGGGTAGAAGGAAGCACCTTCAAGCAAAGAGCCACCAGAGTGCAGCTGGTAGGTGTGTAAAGTGGGCGAGGGGAGTGTTGTCAAATGGTGGGAATAGGGGCTGTTTGGGTTATCTCTAAAGGTTCATATTAGGGAGCAGGGGGCCTGGGTTTGTTTGCTTTGGTTCTCATGAAGTCAGTCTCTGCCCCCACAACAACCCTCCTGGCCCCATCCTCTTAAAAGGAAGGGTCTGTACCCGAAGGGCTGCATGATCTTCTGCCTCTCCCATTCTCCCCTAAAACCCAACCCATCAGCCTCAAAATCTGAGGATGGAGCAGAAAGAAAGACAAGGGACAAAATTAAAGAGCCTCATAGCCTATTCTTACCGATTCCTCTCAAAAGAGGCAAATGATCCCTTCTTCCTCAGGAACCATTGCCATGCACACTCTGCTCCCACCTCCCTGCACCCCTCCCCTCCACTGGAGCTGCTGCCATGGTTGCCAGGCATGGTTGCTAAGTCTCTGCATGGAAGGGTTGGCGTGGGCTGTGCTGCCACCAACATTACCATGGTGAATCAGGGGACACCTGGTATAGGCTTGGGGGGAGGGATCATGGGGATGTAAGCAACACCCTCTGCCCCTGGGACAGAATGAGTGGAAAAGGTGAGCATCTTGAGCACCACTTCAGGTGGGGGCTAAGTGAGCTAGGCATTGTGGTAGTGGTGATGATGGGGAGCTCTACGCTAGGAAACGGGGGCCACTTTTATCATTTCAGTTGCTAGGGGATGGTTTTCCAAGGGAGCACGCCATTCTTCCTCCATCCGTTCTGAAAGGGTGCAAATACATAAGTCCCTTAGTCTGTCCTCCATAAGGCTGAGCAGAGCTGTGTGGGCACAGAACAGTATGACCCCCAAATCCTGGCTTCTGGATTGGGGGAGAGAGCCTGCTGCGGGGAGAAGGCTCCATAGGTGCCCAAGGACAAACATCTAGAATAGGAGCGTGGGACAGTTCGGATGGCCAAGACAGACTGCTGTGTCCTACCAGCAGCCCTGGGCTGCAACACTGAGAGGGTAAGGAGTTAAAGGTGTGGGGGTCACCCTGTCTGAGCTTGGGGGAGGCAGCTCTCCCCCAGAGTCACATAAAAGCTGCGTGAAAGCTACCGCCTCCTCCCTCCACCGCATGGAAGCTGGTTACTCATCTCTGCACCCGAACAGTCCCTGCCGCTAAAAATAGACCCCCTGCACCCCAACCCCATGGAAACCAGCAGAGAGTGGCAGGCAGGGACCTTGAGTTCCATTCCCGTCACCTCCTGAAGTCCGAGGCAGGAAGTCAGTGGCCGAACCCTGGTGGTGGGGCACCCCGACAAGCAGAAGAGTGAAGGGTTAAAACGACAGGAACGTTGAAGAAATGGGGGTGGGGGAAGGGCACCGTCAGCTTGGCAAAAATAAGTCCCCTGCCCACTCGCGCAGGTCCCATCAGGCTTGGGGGACATGAGCAGTGGGAAGGGGCGCCCAATCCCGGGCCCCAGGGGGCGGCCGTGCACATGGGGGAGGTAGCAGCGCGGTGCCGTCCGCGCCGCACCGTGTCACATGCGCGCGCGCACACACACACAGACAGGCACACACGTGTGCCCGGGTATATATAGTCCCCAGTCTCTGGGCCCGTCGCTCTGCAGTGGGCGCCGGCTCCTCGGGCTGGGAGGGGGCTCTCGGGGCGGG